TAATGCATATGTGCTTCCCTCTACAGTAGTGGAAATAGAATATCCAAGCAGAACACAGGGAAGTGAAAAAGGTGGCTTTTGAGCATGGCATTTACAGGCACTGGGATAGTTCCAGTTTATAGTTATGCAGGGAAAACTAAACTGAGTAAACATTTCTATTAAAACTCACTGCAGTATGTATTATTTGGGATAGAGCTTTTCACCCTTCTCAAAACAACAAGACCGTATTGAAAACTGTAGTTTTGAAATTTGGTGTTACTTTTGAAATCATATTTTCATAATGGCAATGTTAATGTTGTCAGGATTGTGTAACTTGGAGGTGTTCAGAAAGACTGACGGTACTTGGCTTTGAATGATTTTGTGGGAAATGGAGGAGACTTTTTTTTTTTTCCCGTCCTTTAAATGTTTAATGCTGTATGACCTCCATCCTCTCTCAATAACTTTTCATAACATTGCTGGGAGTTGTGACAGAGCAGCTGAGAAAACGCAAGTTTACAACTTTGTAGGATACCATTAGTAAAATAGTCTTAATGAGCAGACAATAGGAGATTTTTCAATTGGTACAAAATTTTGTTGAATAGAGTAGTAGCAAGAAGATAGAAATAAAGGCATGACTTTTTTCTCTTTAAAAGTATTTTTCTTTGGCTGTTCACTATTGTATATCATAAGTCTGGCTTGAGTTGTACAAGTCGTTATGCATAAGAAGTGGTATGTACAAGAAATATGCTTTAATTGGCTCCCTGAAAGGCATACAGTTGTTTGTATCTGAAACGATACAGTTCCTGTTCTTTTCTCTTAATACAATGAAAATTAATGGAAATTAAAGGAAAATAAAAAAAAATTCCTTTGGCAGATTTCTGAAGGCGCAATTAGCCTGTGAAACTGTCATAAATGCTTTTGAAGACAAGAGCTGGCTACATTCAAAACCTACAACAACTGACCTCTTCGCTTGTTTTTCTGATTTTAAGGAAAAATTAGAGTATCCAGAATCAATGGATACCATCAGGGAATACCATAAAGGGCATTGTTAATATATGCCCATATATTTAACAGCATGGTGTCTTTCTCATTTCATCACACAATTCCATCTTTTTTTTAGAGAAAGAATACTGTGAGTAAAGGTACCTTTTTGCCATGCAGTTTTTGACATAGCCCGCTTCCAAAATCTCTTCAGTCCTTTTCGTTTTTACAACACAGTGCTAATTTGTGGGCTGCCTTCTGGATAGACTTAACAGGCGGTCAGAGCCACCTGTGCTTTCGCACCATTACCTCCAGTAGCAGGTCTGACCTCTGTTATACTTAGCTCAGCCATAATTTGATTCTGTTTCATGTATTTGGATGTATTTATTTCATTGGGATGCAGTCCTTGTTGGGAACAGCGTGTCCAGACCCACTCCCAGATGGTTGTTTAGTTACAGACTTTTTTAAAAGCTTCAACTTCTTTTTAGTTACCTGGTAAGTGTTAGACTTCCGAAAATACCCATATTCAGTAGTTTTAAATAAGATACAGCTGGACATAATACAGTGACGATGTAGTTTGGTACCTAAATAGGCTGATTTAAAAGCCTAGCCCTCCTTTACTCTTTGTCTTGCACTGGAGAATTTGTGCTACATATAAGTGCAATTTTTCATCGTGTGTGTGCACAGTTAATGAATCAATGTGTCTTCATGATTTTTCACCAGGAGCCTGACAGCTGGGAAATCATAGAGGGTCTGAAAATAGGCCAGACCAATGTCCAGAAGCCAGACAAACATGAAGGTTTCATGCTGAAAAAGAGAAAATGGCCTTTAAAAGGTTGGCACAAGGTAAATGTCTCATAAAACAGTCAAAAGATTATTACCTCATTTTGTGAGTTGGGATTTTTTTGTCTCGAGGAAATTAGGATGTCAGATGAATGCCCAGGATTTTGGTGTATGACTTTTCCTTCAAATTGTGTAAAGAATTAGTTTGTACACACAGCTCATGGCTTCCAAATTGCAGTGTCTGCTGCCTAATGTTGTTTTCAAAATCCAGGTGGAAGCTGTAAATAATGCAGCAGATGCCTTGTGGTTTAAGAGGTTTAATCAATACCCCTTTCATTCCTCCCAATATATTATAACAAAATGTAGCCGTGTACTGTAAGACTGCATTGAGTTTACATTAAAGTACGCAGGGCTTCACTACAGCGGAGGAGAGCTAAGGGCTTTTGCATGGACCCAAGGTGTTTGAACGGGAGAGCATCCCCCTTCGGGCATGCTGACTGGGGAAATTTGTTCAGCGTTGTCCCTGAATTTTGTTTGCCTTCTTGATTGTAATCATCTGTGTGGGCATGCGGTGGGACTATGCACCTTTGCCATTAGATGGCTCAATTTAAAAAAAAAACAAACCCAAAACAAACCACCACAAAACTCACCCCCAAATTCCCCATTTCTATTTAGTAAATTTGGAGACATTTCTCCATGCATAATTCTACTTTTTGTTAGCCCTAAACCTGGTGTTCATAAACTCTTTTGGCTGTATTTTATACCACAATAATTACATTTTTCACCTTTTTTAGCAACCAGATGTGTGGTATTGATGCTTGCCTCTCATTTTGTAGCTGAGGGTACTTGAAGCAGGATAATTTTCTAGGACAGTATGTGTTCTACTGAAAAGGATAGTGAAACTGTTTGTTATAAATGGCGTTTTTTCTGGGAAAGCATTAACTTTATTTTTTTGCTAAACAAAGGGGGACTTTGCTGGGGCTTACTCAGGTCTGAGTCGAAAAGCAGTCCATACTAGTATAAATTACACTTTTTTCTAATTTCTCTGTTCTTTCTGAATGTTACGCTAACTTACACATATGCCTGCCACCCTTTTTTTGTGCATGCCTGAGGTTTTTTGGGTTTGTTTTACTTAACTAGAATTTCTAGTTTCAGTAACCAAATACATATGCACTACTTGAATTTAGTCTAGGGGTATTAGAGGATTTCAAACTTACGTACCTGAAACACCGAAAGAACAGAAAAGAAGAGCTTATTTAAAAAAAACCCCAAACCAACAAGCCACACCACAAACAAGCACACCAAAAAACCTCCAAACAAACAAAACCCCAGCAAACCACCCCCACCTCCCAAAAAAATCCAAACCAATTAATCAGATGTATAAGAATATATGGAGTAACCCACTGCTTCGACTCTTTTAGAATACATTATGTTAATGTGTTGTTTCTTGGACAAGTGTCTGGTTTGATAAGGAACTTCTGCTGGCAAAGCCATAGCATCCTCTGTCTATTGAATGTTGCACGTTAATATTCTGACACTTCTGAATGTGCTTTAGTAGCATACCGGCTATAATGTGTACAACTTGGAGTGTGGCTTCTCATGTTCCGTAGTATGCTTTGGCATGAAATATAAGGCAAGGTCATTTTCTTTTGTGTGTGGAGAAGCAGAGCAATATGAAATGAATATCATGTTCTTGTGAAGTCCATTAATGATCATACCTACTTAAAAAAACCCCAAACAAACAGAACCCAAAATCCTCTTGTTGTTTTGACATCTTATTCAAGAAGTTACATCTCCAGAAAAGCACTGTTTTCTTGCCCTGCGTGAGATATTGGTACCATCTGTTGTGCAGCTGCCATAATTTCCAGAACCATCTTCAGGAGATATTTTCTGCCATCTAGCTACTGACCCTGCCCCTGTTGATTTAACAGGTTCACGTAATGAAAACATTGTTCTTCCCTTCCATGTCAGACAGCTTAGAGAGTCTAGGATAATATTCTGCTGTGTTCTAGGTTCTAGACACACTCTAAAAATATGATTTAGTTTCTATTCATTAGCATGTTTTGAAAGTTAGTGGTGGCAAACACAAGTTAGTGAATCTCCTTTCAAGTTGAGCTTTCCTGCCAGGCTGTAGCTTTATGCTGTGTGCCAAAATCTGTGCTAACTTGTCTGCAATGCGCCTTGCAAGCTGGGGCAACTGCAATTGTAGGAGAAACTCATTATGAACAGGGGATTCTGCTCTCTCCTGTAAGTAAGAGCCACTTGGGAAAATAAAGGTGTGGCAACAGCACAGATAGGCATCGTCAGGTTAGCCTAGACCTGGAACTATGCCAACAAAGAGGGACCTGGGAGTCCTGGTGGATGACAAGCTGACCATGAGCCAGCAGTGTGCTTGTGTTGCCGGGAAGGCCAATGGTATCGTGGGGTGCATTAAGAGGAGTGTGGCCAGTAGGTCGAGGGAGGTTATCCTCCCCCTCTGCTCTGCCCTGTGAGATTGCACCTGCAGTACTGTGTCCAGTTCTGGGCTCCCCAGTTCAAGAAAGATGAGGGACTCCTAGAGAGAGTCCAGAGGAGGGCTACAAAGATGATGAGGGGTCTGGAGCATCTCCCCTATGAGGAAATGCTGAGAGAGCTGGGCTTGTTTAGCCTGAAGAAGAGAAGACAGAGGGGATCTCATCAACACGTACAAATATCTTAAAGGTGGATGTCACGAGGACAGAGCCAGACTCTTCTCAGTGGTGCCCAGCAACAGGACAAGGGGCAATGGGCACAAACTGAAGCATAAGAAGTTTCAGTTGAATATGAGGAAGAACTTCTTTACCTTGAGGGTGACAGAGCACTGCAACAGGCTGCGCAGGGGGGTTGTGGAGCCTCCTTCTTTGGAGATATTCAGAACTCTCCTGGATGATGTCCTGTGCAACCTGCTTTAGGTGAACCTGCTTTAGCAGGAGGGTTGGACTAGATGATCTCCAAGAGGTCCCTTCCAACCTTTGCCATTCTGTGATTCTGTGATTCTGTGATATAGTGGCTCATACCGTATCAATGACTAACTCCCGAAACAAGCCCTCCCATGACCTGGGTATGTTACTGGGAATGCTGTAATTTTTACACTTGTACTAATACCTGTGTTAGCCAGATTACAGCTAGAAAAGGTATAATCTGCAAGAATTACAATCTCATCTTTACCTCACTGTGTAGAGGTCTGCCGTGAGGCATGAAGTTTTGGATGGTAGAGCAGTGCTTCACGGCCTGAATTTTTTTCCCAGCTGGAGATCAAGGAGACCACAAGAACATCCCTATGTGGGTCTTCCTTTTGGGATGTAGATCTTGCACTAGGAAAAACTTTTCAGTTTCTGGATAGGGAAGGTAGGTTGTTAATTTGGAATGTGACCAGCTTCTGTGGGAAGAAAAACAGGAAAAAAATGAAGAAACAGACATAACTCTTTTAGCCTACAGTGTCTTTCTTATAGATTTTATTGAGTTGGCTGCAAAACTGAAAAAAAAAATACCTTTTGTTATCAAGGTTTGTTAAGTTAAACGTAGAATATAATGTTGAAAAAAGAGACTCTAGTTTTTCTTGCTTGGAAGATAATTATTGTCAAAAAGCAAGCAAGAAAATTATTCAATACTGTATTTATCCTCTCGTTCCAACCTGCAGACAATCCTTAATTGCTACACAGTAATCCTTTTCTTTTGCAGATGAATTATTGTACACAGTTTAAATTGCATCTGCTCATTAAGAAAGATTTTTTTTTTTTTTTTTTTTTTTTTCCTTTCAGGGGTTTTTTTTCCTGGATAATGGAATGTTGAAATATTCAAAGTTTTGTTACAGTGTTCTAAGTTTTCTTTTATTTTTCACCAAATTGGAGTAGTTACTTACGTGTGGGGATTTTTTTTTTTTTTTTTTTTTTTCCTTTCAGAGGTTTTTTGTCCTGGATAATGGAATGTTGAAATATTCAAAGTCACCAATTGACGTAAGTAAAGTTGAAGGCCATTTTAACAGTTGTATTGGAATTCAGCCTGCCAGGGGGATTAAATCTCATACTCGCTCTAGGCACATTTATGACAGTTTCATGTGTATGAAAGTTGTTGATGGATTCAGAGAGATCTGTATATGGAAAGCATGTAAGGTTTTGGTTGATTTCTGTCCTCAACAATTCTACCTTTCCTTACTTCCATGACAATAGAAACTACATCACTCTAAAGTAGTTTATTTAGCGAAGGTGCTTGAGAGATTAGCCTGACCACGCATTTTTCTTTTTCTATTTTTGTGTCAGTTGGAGCTGATTATTCTGAGATATGTGGATGAGACAGGAAAGGGATTACAATGTACTCAAGAGATATAAAGGGTAGCATTAAATTAGTTAGATCCAATACCAATAACTATCAAGCGGTAGCAGCGGGGAGCTGAGTACTAATTTTCTCTGCTTCTCACTTACATGTAGTTGTATACTGGTGTGAACCAACCCACTTTAGCTTTGGAGTTGGCTCTGCACCGAGCTCTTCTTGTGAGATACAGTTCTCTGTCTGTAAATACAGTAAGTGGTTAGTCTGAATACAGGTTTTATTTTTTAATATGGCTTTATATTAAAATGTTCATAAAATGGGAAACCATCTCAGCACCAGATATTTTTCTGTTAAATACAGTGAAGAAGTACATGATCCTATCGTTTCTAACCCTCCTTTTTTATTTTAGATACAGAAAGGCAAAGTCCACGGGAGCATTGATGTTGGCTTATCAGTTATGTCTATAAAAAAGAAGGCTCGTAGAATAGATCTTGACACAGAAGAACACATCTATCATCTGAAGGTAAAAAGTGGTACAAATACTTATTCTCTTTTCGTCCACAGTGGAAATAAATAAAACTGTAAAAGGTGCGCAGAAAAGTAGTATTTTGAATGCTTTCTTGATAATGAATTTGTTTCCAGGTGAAGTCCCAGGATTCATTTGATGCATGGGTTTCAAAATTACGCCACCACAGATTGTACCGTCAGAATGAGATTGTGAGATCTCCGAGAGATGCTAGCTTTCATATATTCCCATCAGCCTCTACTACAGAGTCTTCACCAGCTGCTAATGTGTCGGATGGAAAGGTATGTAGTGTTCTTTTGTGGAAAACTCATGCCCACTGGGCTTGCCCATGGGCAGTTTCATTGGGCTCTGCTTGTAATGCCAATAGAGAGGAGTTTCCACCCACAGAACCCGTGGCCAGCAAAGAGCTGTGAGTGTGTGCAGCTGAAAGCCTGTCTAATTTAGCCTTACTGCAGCCTTTGTTAATGGGCTGCTGTAGAGATCTTGCAAAGAACTCACCTTCCCCAGAACAACTTGCACTTGCCTTTGGCATCAGGGATGAATCTGTTGCTTTACTGTTTGATAATGTTCTTCCTCTTAAACAACAGCTTTTGTAACTGGTGGTTAGCAAACTGATGGTTAGCAAACACAGTTTGCTTGTGAGGTTCTTGGTTTGGTTCTCCAACATGCTGTTCAGAAAAATCTGCATCTTGGGGAACTGTGTAGTCAAATCACAGATGTCGTGGAAATCACAATGCATATTTTGTTTTCTTGTTCTGAAGTAGTATGGTGATTGCACTGACTGAGCAACATGGCAACAGTAAATTTAATTAAATTTTATTATCCCTTAGGTGCAACAAAATAGTTTCCCCTGGCAGTCTCCTATACCTTGCAGTAACAGCCTTCCTGCCACCTGCACTACTGGTCAGAGTAAAGTAGCAGCCTGGTTGCAGGACTCTGAAGAGATGGACAGATGTGCAGAAGGTTGGCCTTTACCTTTTCATGCCTTGTTCTTTGAGCAAAACTTCCTGTTGATACATAATAAGAAACAGTCAGTAAAGTGATTAAGTTGCGTCTTTACAGGCTCACGAAGTAGCTCTTCGGTTAATTGGATGCTTGTGGTGGGAACTTCCCTCTCTGCATGTTTTGGGATGTTGCTTTTAAAATGTATCTTAATAATCTGTATTATCTTAATGGATATCATTGTTTAAATATGATCAACTTTTGAGGTCCAGACTTGTTACTGACTCCCGTAGAAATAACAAGTGCTCAACATCCCTAAAAATAAAGCTTTTACTTAGATGCCTTACTACTAGGGATTTGGAAATCTCACTTCTATAGTGCAGTAAAGTGCCAACAATGGACATAATGAAAAAAAAATTTCGAACTGAAGCACCTAATATATTTTTGTTTATATCTGTTAGATCTTGCTCATTGTCAGTCAAACCTTGTGGAACTCAGTAAACTTCTTCAAAATTTAGAAATACTACAGAGAACTCAGTCAGCACCAAATTTCACAGACATGCAGGTAAATATGCTTGAATGTAAATCATCACACTGAAACATTTGTTCTTTGTGTTAAAGAAATACAGAGATGATGTCTGTTAAATCAGAATGATTTTCTGAAATCATAGTAACTCTTGGATGAAAGGTTTATCTTATATGTTTATCTTAATCATGCATAATAATGTTTCATGTGTAAACAAGTAATTGACATATTAATTATTTGAGTTAAATAGGACAAATCAGATTATAAGTGATTTGCAAAGCAAAACTGAGAGCTGTTACGATAGAAGTACATGTGTACATTGAAATTGTATTTAAGGAGTTTTTGTTGTGCTGAGCATGATATTGTTTTAAGTTTTTAAGGAGTGGAGACCCAAAGACCCCCAAAGATGAAGTTGCATGCTTTAGAAAAGAGGGCATAGTACAAAGGTCCCAAGGGTCGGACCATTTCCCAGTTCAGGGTGAGTTTTCCTTCTGACCACAAGAAAGCAACAGCTTATCCTAATTCCTAAATACTTTCTTCCTTTTTCACTTAGTCCCCTTGAGTATACGAATCTCCCAGTGAGTTGGGAAGTCTAGTTCCAATGAGGTAACGAGACTTAACCATTGGTTACAGGAAGAGGTGAGCTCTACATTTCTCTGAGTACTACCAGAATAGAAATCCATGAGGATTTCAAGATCTGGTCCTAAATATTGTGCGCTCATGAAGAAAGGATACCAGTAGTTTTGCTAAATGAGCTAAGTATACCGTGTGTTTATAGAAGTGCATGGATAGCTGGTCACTGCTGTAGTTGCAAGCCCCAGCAGTGGCATTCTTCTCCTTACTTTCTAATTTGTAGATGTCTAATGCTACAATTCTTTACTAACTTACTGTACTGTCTGTGTTGCTTGTGTCAACTTAATAGTACTTTGTCGCTTTTAACTATTTGTGTAATGTAGGCTAACTGTGTAGATATTTCAAAGAAAGACAAGCGGGTCACGAGACGATGGAGAACAAAAAGTGTCAGCAAAGATGCAAAAATTCAACTTCAGGTACTGAATGCACAATGTTTTACTTTTCATTGTACTTTTAGATTAACTTTTAAGTGTGAAATGATATACTAGCTGGAAGTAGGAAGTCGATGTACTGTCTCTTATGTTCCCAATGAAGTAAATTAAATCTCAGTTTGTTGTTTAAAACCTAGAGAAGATAGTGAGAAAAGTATTGATTTTACCTTCATTCATATGAAAACATTGCCATCTAGGGAAAGGAGGGGGATCTGAATACTAGTCAATTAAGGTGCAAAAAAGGGAATATGCGTGCAGAACATGGGGATACTGATGTGCTATCTCAAACTTGCCAAGAAGGGCAGTTGAACAGGTGACATCAAGCTAACAGCAGAAAACATGAATGAAATACTAATCACAGCAGTAGTCTGTGGCAAGACCTATACTAGGAATGTTACCAATGAGATGTATTTTCACAAGCCTTCTCATATGGAAAAGGCTAGTATGGGAACAAACTGAATAAACCAAAGAATAAATTACGTGAAGAAAGAATTTACCTCATCCTGTCTTAGAGCTGAAAAGTAAGAACACAGAAATAGCTTTTATTACTGCTAGATCCAGGGTCTCCTATTGTGTTTTGTCAGAAGTAGTTGTGTGTTTTGAGGCCTAATCCAAAACCTAATCTTTTTTATAATGGAGCAACTGATAATGAAGACTGTATTCAACTTAATTCAGGAGCTAATAATGACCACTGTGCTGTCTGCTACAGGATAAATAAATGTCAGCAATTTTTGATCCATTTAAATTCCTTGAAATTCATGCAAACTTTGAAAGCCCTTAATACGTGCCCTAGAGGCACAATAAGGAGTTTTCTGTGACTCATTTAATATTAATAATCTCAAGGAAAGAAGAAATTGTAGTTGCATCAGCTTTTCATTGCAGCTGTTGTAGGTGATTTTTCTTTCTACCTGTTACACTAGATAAATCACAATAGGTTGAACAATGAAGCATCTGTTAGGATTAAAAAGGTTTATTAACAAAGGAATTTTGGTGATTGATGTTATGTCCTATTACCTGCATTTGAAGGATCACTGTGTTTCCCTGCTGCTGAAGGCAAATAAAAATATCAGGAAAATGGATGCAAGTGCTTGGTGCCTGTGAAGAGACAGAGTCAACACTGCATGTTCTCTCATGCCACAGTGGTCTCAGAGAACTTCCTTTCCACAAAAATGATAAAAAAATGATGAAAGCAGCCAATGTATGATGATCTCGGGTGGGTCATGAGGAATTACGAGCTGTTCCTGTGTTGCCTGTGTTTGCCAAAGTGACACTGGTCTGGGCTTCTGTCATTTTGGCACTTGACTCTCAAACTGCTGTTTGTGGCTTGGCAGGAGTTGTGCCTCAGCTCCTGAAATTCTTAAATACGGTTGGTTTGCAGGTTCCCCTGAGAGAGTTTGTGTGCATAGCACTGCTCTGCATGGGTCTGTCACTTCTGGGTCGATAATGAACTCTGCCTAACCTGGCTCAGCATCAGCTCCTGGCAAGCTTAATGCTGGAAATGTAAAGCTTATTTTGTTAGAGCAAAGCATTAAGTTATTGATGACTGATTTATAAGTCAATTTGCAGTGAAACAGAAACAATAAAATTATTCTAAATTATATAGAAGGTGGAAGACTCCTTTCTGGCTGCTGCATTATCTTGCCTTGTTTGATGGGCTCAACACATTGTTTATTCTTGCAAGGGCTGTCCTGTCCCATGAATGGTCTAAAGCCCTGATGTAGAAGATGGCCTCACTCTGACTCATTGTGTTATTCCTAATTTGCTCATGTTGCCATTCCATTAAAATGTGAATTTCCTCCCATGCCTAGGTGCTTTTTAAGCTTAGAGTCCCATATTGTTCTTCTGCTAGCCATTCCTTCTAGCTTCATTGGCCTTCCTTATAGGTATTTTTTTCAAGACTACTCCAAGTCTTTATAAACTGCTTATCAGGGCATCCACTACTGAGAATCACTTCGTCTAATTTGTGATCATTTCTTCATGCTGCCTACGTATGATTTGCTATAAAATGGTTGACATTTCATACTAAAAAACTTCTGTTGTCCTTTCCATTTCCCCATGCCTCCATACAACTCATTGGTTTTAGGGGATAATGCTAATACTAACATACTAACTTTAAGCTTGTTGCACTGTTAATTCCATTTGAACTGCTTGCACCTCTTTATTTTAGAATGAGCAGTCATTAATTACCATCAAAAGATCCTCTGATAGTATGATGTTGAAAGCCATCCTTCTAGGGACCACAAAAATTAGGGAGCTCTATGTACAGGTGTCTTGTTCATGAGTAATGGGGAATGGAGGGTATAATTTTTGCTAGCTCAGCATCTGCTGTGTATGATGCAAGGAGAGAATTCTTCCATCCAGACTTAATATTGTACTTGTTACCAGTCTTTTGTTAATAAAATAGCTTTTATTGTATTCCTGCTAATACATTCTGCAATATGAATGCTAGGTGTATAATGTGTTTAAAACATACTTTTAAAAAAGTGGCTTGCAGTTCTGTATGCAGTTAACTTTGTTCACACAGCTAATGCCAGTGATTAGAGTGGAGTTAGTCCCTGAAGTAAAACTGAGCATAGCATGTGTGTATATGTTTGCAGGTTTGGGGGATTTAGTATTGCTAAATCGTTTAGAATTAACAGCTTAATTTACAGGCCTTTACTCAGGAGTGATACGTGGGCTGCTTCTCTGAAGAAAGATTGCTTTTATGAAGGAGGTTTATTTTGTTTTTTAGAAGCCTATTTAAAGTTTTATGAAAATGGCCTGCAACAACAGGTTAGTTGACCTGTGTTCATTCATTTTACAATGATACTCTTGCACAAAAACTGAGTTGGGGGTTCCACACACACACCCCCCCCCACCTCAGGTAAAGACCAATTTGTCATTCTCATGACAATCTAAAGATCTTCAAAAGAAGAAAAAAAAAATACTGAAAAGCAATAAAATTAATTAACCGTGATTTGATTTCACTCAAAAGCTCAGAGTTCTGAAGTTCAAAGACTGTTTGGTTGGTTTTTTTTTTTTTTTTTTTTTTTTTTTTTTTTTTTTTTATCGCTTAGACGTCCTTTCTTGAGGCCGCAGCGTCTGTTTTTTTTTTTTTTTCTTTTTTTTGGAGGGTGTGTGTGTGTAGTATTAATTTAATAGAGAACTATACATTATGGAGCAACCTGAAAAGTCATCTTGCTCTGCTGAGGCTTTCAGCTCAGGAATGAGCCCACAGCCAAAGACTGGCTTATTACCTTTTCCCTTAAATATTTATTTATGTCACAACTCAGACTCAGATTATGACCTTACTTTGTATTGTGTTGAGGGGAGCGTGTGGTTCTGCAGAGCTCATTGTTCCCATATTAATAATGTATACCTGCATTTATAACCTTGCAGAGAGATATATGTATTAGTGCATGTCTCTCTCTCTGTACATATACATATTTATATAAGTGCTTATTACTTAAAAAAGAATATTCTTCCAAACCCTTATTTACAGGACAGACATACTTCTGTGGAGCACAAAGAGCTTTACATTATGCATATGATGCATTCTCTGCTTTAACAAAGTTTGTACTCTATATTTTAGAGGTTATATACATATTTTTTAATGTGAGAATTTGACAAAATATTACAAAGCAAGGCTTCTTACTGTGATCATTAGACAACCCTTCCATTGTCAGTAGCACTGCTGCTAGTATCAGCCAGAGAGTAAAGGGTATGGCCATTCTCAGGTGCAGCAACCCTACCGGCGAGAATGTTACAGGAGCAAGACACTTCAGCTAGTAACAGAACTACAATATCCTGTTCTTCGGCATGGTGTCCATGTAACCAATCTATACCATTGTTATTTCTATGGTGCCCAGACTGCTTTCAGAAAAAGTAGAAATGTACATAGATTTAAAAAATACTGAAGTGGATATAGGTGAAGATACAGGCTGAAGAAATAGGGTGAGAAAAATGTAAAGGGATGGAAAATTGTTTTCTAAAAGC